ATATATGTACAGAATGTTTTTTTTTATTCTTACACATTTGTTTCAAAAAAACGTGAAAGCTACACTAATGCGGTTTGTGCAGGTGGGTTATACGGCCAGGCGGAAATTATGTGAGTGGCTAATCTTTGCGATAAGTTGGATAATTATTTAAAATTTATTAATTAACTTTTTAATTAGTGGAAATAGACATATGGTTCCAATTAGAAACTTGTAGAGCATCATCGACAACCACTAAATCAACTATTTTTGGAAGGATATAACGCCGGGGGCAGCGTTTTGCAGCGTTCTGTAAAAACGCTCCATTTGGACGCGTTTCTAGATTTCGGTTTCTTATCGGAGCGCATCACCGCGCCCGCGGTCCTGCTCCCCAGTGGCTGAGACGCGCAACACACGTGCGCCCAACTTCCCTCCATTCTACGAAGGAGGCGAGGAGGTGGCTTCGCGCCGCGAGCACCAGGGAGCAGGATCGCGGGCGCGTAGATGCGCTTCGTTAAGAAACCGAAATCTAGAAACGCGTCCAAAGAAAGCGGTTTTACAGAACGCCGTAAAACGCTGCCCCGGCGTTATATCCTGCTAAAATTAGCTGATTTAGGTGTTTTCGATGGTGCTCAGCAAGTTTCTAAATGAAACCATATGTTTATTTTCAGTAATTAAAAAGTTAATTAACGAATTTTAATTAATTAGCCGACTTATCGTAAAGATTAGCCACCCACATACTGTCCGCCTGGCCGTATAAGCAACCTGCACAAACCGCATTAGTGTAGCTTTGACGTTTTTTATTTTTGAACAAATGTATAAGAATAAAAAAAAAAACACCCTGTATATATATGTATACTTTTTTAACATTACCCCAAAGCAACCCCATTGCGCCTAGTCTCTCGAAGGCCTTTACCCATAAGGGGCACTACTCAAGATGGTCTCCTGGAACAAAAAATAAGTTTAATAAAATCTTTCTTAAAACAAAAAGATACACTAATGCTCCAGAGCTTTTCTTTGCTTACTTTCAAATGAATCAAATATTAAAATACAAATAACTATTTAATTTTGATAAAAGTATAAGAGGATAAAGTAAAAGGCGTCTAGAGAAGCCCCATCCCCTTCAGGGTTGCCTCTGTGATTTTGCATATTAAACGTACAAAGATATAACAAAAATGACCTAAACATACCTTGAGACTCCTGGGCGAGGCAGTACCCCTTTCCAAGGATGAACGAAAGTTACCTGAAAACCCCATTAATACAAAATAACGGAGAGGGTTTGAAATGGTACATAAGAAACGCAGACGGTAGCATTGCTATACCTGATATCGTCGTCTCCTTTCTGCATCTGACTCGATGGTCATTGACAAGCTAAGAACGGCAGGGAGGAGCTTCAGTAGTCCCACCTCCAGCTTCCTAGCCTCGATGCGCTTAGGCGTCACGTGCACCTCGACCACGCGTGCCTAGCCAAAGCACGGCGGAGGTCGGGTGTTTGAAAGGAAACGCTCTACTGTCTTCATTACCTCAGTTACGATAGGCCTGTCCGCCCCTACGGGGTGTCACAACAAAAAAATGTACACATTTTTTTTTTACCACAAGAGTAAACTAGGCATCGCCGAAGGCTCATTTTTCGCCCAAAGGTAGCGCTAGAGGTCGCAGCCAGATGCCAAAGTTTCAGCGCGATCCGATATCTTAATCAAAAGTTATGCGATTTTCTGGAAATTTCAATGGGAAAATAACGGCCGAGGGCGTTTTCGAATACATGGGGCTCTATGGCACACATATCTTGTGCCAGGAAGTTTTTTGTCGAGGGCGACGACGATTTTTTTTTAAATTGCTGCTTTATATTGATCCAGACGTTGTGGACATCATATGGTGCTGTGCTAACTGCGAACAGTGTTCACTCTGCTCTGTCCCGAAACAGCAGCGACGCGAATTTCCGCACACGCGCTGCCGTCTCATGCAGTGTCCGGCCACAGCGCGTGGAGAGTAATCGCAACCAACGACTCAAACTCCGCTGTCAGTTCCTCAGCAAAGTACTAAAAGTTGAGAGATTTCCAGCTTGGCTGAACGTTACATTAGAAAATATACCGAAAATCAGCCCACAAACAGAAGGCATTGTTACAGTCCAGAAATACACGAGGAAGGGTCTCTTAGTCACCACAGAAACTGCAGTTGGTTCCGATCGGAAGGTACACGCCCTTGTTTTCCAACCAAGTGTTTACTGGCAGGGTGTCTGTGTGAAACCTGATAAAGAAGATATTGGTTCTTCGGGAGACAGGGAGGGTGCACAATCGCATAAGAACATGTTTTCCTCCGGATGATTGGGAACCGTTTTTGTAAAAAAGAGCTGGACATATGCTGCTGACTGAGTCCCTAGAGTTTTTCGTTTTTCACTTGCTGGAGATACTCCCACGAGTACCTTGACTCGAAGCATTCCATCGCTTTGGCAATTTCCCTATATAATCGTAGGCACTTAGCTGCGTTCGGTTGCTCCGATATGCAAACCACGCACTGCCCATGGTGCACGCCCCCAAGGCTCTAGAATGGCCACCGCGTAATTTCATAATTCCTTTAGTTCAGAGTCTCTGAACAAAAAGAACGGACTTATTTTCACTTTAAGGGCAACAGGCCACAATCAAATCCCACAGCCTTGAGGTTAAGAAAGGAAATTGTGATCTTCGTTTTTTTTTCCTTGCTGACTGCCAAACAAATGCTGCGAAGAACCAATTTGCCTTCAACACTGGCGTCGTTGGGATACCCTGGCCGCGCAGATCAAACCAGGAAAGGGAACAGCGTTACACAGAAAGCTTCGCTGGATAAGAATTCGTCCTGTGCGCCATGGTAGGAGCCACGCTCTCATCGTCTGAAGTTTGACCGACCACATTTTACGTCTCGGGTGCGTCAACGTGAGCGGTATGCCAAGGTGCTTTTACAGCGAGGGCGACCACGTGATCCCTAACACGCTTGAAGGCGTGCAGGCCCACTTACCCATGCGCGTACTTGTAAATTTGTCTAGATTAAGAGGAGCTCCGATACGGCACAAAACTCTTGAATTATGTACATTGCCCTCAAAAGCTCCTCTTCAGAAAATATGACGGAAACACGATCCGCGAACGCTGGGAGTTTCAGGTATTTAGTTAGCAGCTGAAGCCCTCTAATTCCTTCATCCATTTAAATAGCCTTGCACAGTGGGTGTAAGTAGAGCGCAAATAGCAGGGGCTACAAAGGGCACCCCTTTCTGACTGACCATTGCTGCACACAATTTTTTTTATTTTTTTTTTACTAAGGTTTTGGTAGATTTTTTATTGTAGCACACGCATACCCAATCGAAAAGAACGTTGCCTGCGTTGATGCGTTTTAGTATCTGGAACAAGAATTCATGGTCCACTTGATCGAAAGCACGACACGAGTCAATTTGAAGGACCGCCAGAGGCGTGTTGAAGGCTTTGCTGATCTGCCTTCACAGTAGTTTGCGAAAGCTTTTTTTTTTTTTTTCATTGCTTATATATATATTAAAAACACTGTTTAATAAAGTGCTTCGAATTTCGTTCTGGATAACATGAAACGCTTGAGCTCCCAAAGCACGGACCTAGAGAAGCCACATTTGAATAATAGCAACCTCAACATATCCGTGAAAATCAATACCGCAGTGAAGAACATTAACAAATCATACTATTTTGTGCATTTCATGTAGAGTGCATTTTTGGCGACTGTAATAAGGTAAAAAACGAAAGACGCAAAAATGGGCATCAAAGCCAGACGCCTATTTCAGACGCAAATGCTAGAGGCAAAGGCGTTTTTGGGGGAGGGTTGGGGTGGAAAAAATCTTTACATATTAGTTTAAAAAAAACAAAAAAAACTTAAATTTAGAGTATTTTGATCGATGTAGGTGAGTTAAGCGACCAGAGGAACATGATTTCCGGGGCTAAGCCTCACGAAAAGTTGAGTAATCAACTAAAATATGTCAAATAAATTTCTAATTGGTGAAAAGAAACATATAGTTTCGATTAGAAGCTTGCTGAGCGTCATCAAAAAATCAAGTCAATAAATGTGAGCAAGATTTTGAGCACCTGAGAAACGCGGCGGTGCGTTTAGGTTACACTACAGCTCGTGTAACAGGCGCAACCTTATCCGTGACACAAAGCACGTGCTTTCAGGCCCTGACGGAACAGCTTCGTGCTTTCATCATTACGCGACCTACAATCTTGTTGCATAGACTTTAATTAGCGCGAGACTGTCACTGGGAAGGCTCGAATATGGAGCGGTAGGCGCCGTTTGTTCAGTTGGAGTCGCGAATAGTCGTGCGAAAACAAGGAGATATAGAGCGAAAACGTCGCGCACCTAATTCACACCCGCGCTTTCCACGGACTCCAAATCCTTCTGAAATTTGATGAAGAAATGGTTCACGATGACGCTCATCAAGTTTATATTTGAAACCATATGTTTCTTTTCACTAATTATTAAGTTCGTTTACAAATTGTATTTAAATTTCCTTTTTACATATTGCGACGATTAGTCTGATATATTTGTCTCCCAGGTCGTGCGACTCACGTGTGAAAACCGCGTCAGTGTGGTTTTCACTGCTTGGGTTAAGCCAAACTCAGAATCCTAAAGACAATAACAGTTTAAATATGTAATGTGACCACGACTTTTATTACCGACAATGATTGTCGTTTTGTTGGAAGTTTCTGTATTAATCTATATTGATTAATGATACCTCCGAGAGTAACTGACACCAAAAAAATACAATTTCTACGTGTGAGGAGTTTAGTTGTTATCAACGTACTGCCGCAGTTTTCTCCTCCGTCTTAGAAGGAACGCTCGGTATATTACTATAGTACATGTTTCTTCTATTCTGTAGTTATCAGGAATGAAATAAATGTCGTCGTGAACTCACTAACAGTTTTTTTTATACATCGTTTGAAATGGTGGAGGCATTTTGTGCTTTGACATTGACTTCAGCAATTCAACATGAAATACATATTTTCCCCATTCTTCTTTCAATCTTCTAATGCTTCAAGGAACAAGATCAATGCAGGCTATCTTTCAGTTCGCCTGGGAAGTACGAAAATAGCGAAATATGCAGTACATTTTCAACGAAATGAAGGCAAAAATGTCCACCTGGATAGAGGTGACACAACAGTTATCCATGATGATCTGGAAGATGAAATCATTTGCATGGAAGTGGATTACGTCTGTATACCCCTTCAGGACAACTGTACCCTTTTTATGGTACGTAATCTTGTTTAAAAAAAAACGAATTTGTATTTCTTAAAAGTAACCTATTTATCTTACAGAAAGACCTTGCACTACTGAAATTAAAGGAACCGGTCAATATTACAGCGTATATTCGGCCAATCTGCCTTCCTGAACACTGCGAAGAACCGCCTTCAAATACCAGCGTCTATGGTGCGGGCTGGGGCCTGGTTTATGGTAAATGGTATTCTCGCGTCATTTTGTTCTACGTGTTAGAGCCTCGACATGGGAAACGGGGGACCAGTGAAGGTTTAAAAGGGAGCGTTTAATACACGTCCGGCGGGTACGCCTGCCCAGCAAAAAGAACGGTGCGCCACGCGGGTGGTGGCGCGAGCTTGGGGTCAGTCGTCTTCTTTTGCGAGGGCGCTAACATACGTGTCAATTATCGTAAACAAATCAGAAAGAAAAACACACATTTATGAACATATAGAAGTCAAGCCTCTCAATAAAACAGTTTCCTGCAGTAAGCGTCAGATTCATGTCATTGAGACACCGCGGATGCTTAAATGCTAACAAAATTAAACCGAATGCGGGCGCTTCTATATGTTTTCTTAATCTATTTCTTCGGAACGGCGTGCAGGCACACGCTAGTTTTTGAAATATCTGATACAAGGCCGATGTTTTGTACATGTTAGCGTTTATTGATTGGGGTGGGGATAGATCCACTTTGAGAAATAGGAACTAGCAATAAAACAAAGAGTGTCCTTATCGACACACTCACTATATTAGCTCTTTCATAGATCTATGTATTATAGAGTGAATATTTTATATTATGTATACTCCAATTCAATAATATGAAATGGCTCTATACTCACACTATATTTCAAGAGACACGGCAGCACAGTGACACAAATCATAATAAAGGCTATGAATGTCATCGACTAACCTAACTCTTAACACAGACGTCGCCGACAAAGTTTTTAAACTGCTAATTGACGAAAATTTAACCCTTTTGTATGAAATTTACGTGCATGATCATATAGTCAGTGCGAAGATCACCATCAAAAAAGTTAACATTCACGCAAATCTGGTTCTCCGAGTACTGGGCGTTTACCACAGAAAAACTCGCAGTTTCAAAGGTGTTTGCCGCATGTTTGATACGTAACTAAATTATTTCTTTGCAGCTAGAGCAACCAAATGAATGCAGATTGCCAAAACATCTTAGTTGTTCTGGCAATTTTTGATGCAGAATTAAGTGTGGCAATGGACCTTTTTGCAGTAACGAGCGCCCTCTGCGGACTAGTCCTCAAACTCCAAATCAAGGGCAGCCCAACTTGCCTCTGCCCGTCAAATTACATTGGCATCGTGCCTTTGTATTGACCTTCATTGGCTTTTGTGCCCCATACTACCGTATATGTAAACAAACAAAACAACTACACGCAAAAATCGCTGCTGGATGTGTTGGTCGACCGTAACTTTGCCCTGCGAAAATTGCGACAGCTGGAAGCAATACCAGGGCAGGGGGGGTGTACGCATGCGCAGATTACTCTTAAAAAGGTCCACTGGTATCAACGTTGTGTTCAAAACCTAGTTCCGTAGCTGAAGTTTTCAATGATTTTATTGTATCCGAAGGAGGTGGCAGCCGGACATCCGTAGCCTTATATGCCCAATACCTCTTGACGCCTCGTAACGCGTGACGCTGAAGTCCTCGTGGCTGAGATGATGGTGGCTGAAGCTTCAGCTCTGGTCGGCTAAGCTCCGGTCATGCTAACTTCGGTCGCGTGTTCTCGTAAGCGCCGGTCGCCTAAGCTGACGTGACCTGATGTCCTCGACGTTACCCTAGAGCAGTGGTTCTCAACCATTGGTGCTTCGCGGACCCCTTGAGGATCGGCGGAGATGGTGGAGGACCCCGCTCGCGGTAAGGGGACGGGCAATGTGTAGGTTAATTATGATAGTGATTTAATAAATTGATATAAATAAGGGCTAGTAGGAAGTAGTCTTCTCTTACTGACATATAGACGAGAAAACTGACCCGAAAATTGCAACATTTTTTCTCAATCTGAAAAAAAGAACTTTTATTGCCGGGCTTCACTGATGAGGCTGGGCTTCGCGGACCCCTAGAATGCCTTTGCGGACCCCACATGGTCCGCGGACCCCCATTTGAGAACCACTGCCCTAGAGCTTGTCCTTGGGGTTGCCCTTGAGGCCGTCATAGAAGTTATCTTAGACGTCGTTCTTAACGCTTTCCACAAGGACGTCGTCCTAAACGCCCTTTCTTGACGTCCTGCTCACTGCATGTACGGGATATTAAAACTACAATTTCATTACCGTACAACTTATTTTCTTAATTGTTTTCACTAATAATGTTCCTGGAAAGCTGCCACATTTCATTGCGTTTGGTGGAATGAAAACAGCCGCCTAAATTTTGTAACACGGAATGATTTTATCGGCTTGATTTTATGAAATTGTGTAACTCTTTCAACCTTTTCAAACGAGGATTCACCATGGAGCTAACCTCAAACCATGCGACCTTTAATCCAACGTCTTTTTTTCGGCGCCGCAAATAGGAGATGAAAAAAGCACAAGCAAGTGAACTCTATGACTTGCCGCTAACCCTCGTCAGCGGTAGCCCGCCATTGTCTGCGGCAAGAGATGCTTAGTTAAGCATACTTGGTTATGCATAATTTGCCTTCAGGCGATATGCAAGGCGAGTTTTACCTAGTCAAACATACACAGTCCGCATTCAACCGTCGGCACAGTCACACCTTCTCCAGCATACTTATGCCGCAGTATACAGTCGCTGGGGAATCATACGTCATCCAGCATACTTGGTTACCAGGCCGTCGCCGGCGAGTCACATTAAGTACGAAATACATCGTCCACAGACGACCTTTAGCTGCAGGCCATACATAATCCAGCATTCTTAGCCCGCAAGCGACCGGTGTACTTAGTCTGCGGGCGACAGCAGGAGGTGGGTTATACCTAGTCCAGAGTGCTTCGTTCACCGGCGACCGCCGGCAGCGAACAATACTAAGTACATAATATTTATTCCACAGGTGTCTGTCGGCGGGTAGTCATACTTTGTCCAGCATACTTAGTATTCAGGCAACCTATTGTGGCCACTCAAACTTAGTTTAGCGAACTTAGTATGTAAGCAGCCGTCGGAGGCGAGTTAACTTGGTCCATTATTATATAGCCGCAGACGACGTTTGTGGCGATTCGTATCTTGTTCATCATACTTAGCCCGTAACCTAATGTCGCCGGTATGTTATACGTAGTCCAGCGCACTGAGTCTACGGACGATCTTCGGCGGTGACGCATGCTTAGTAAAGCAAAATTAGTTCGCAGGCAACCGTCGGATGCGAGTCATGCTTACTCCTGCATACTGAGATCATGAGAGTTTGTGGCGTCATGCTTAGGTCATAATGCTTACCCTACTCCGCAGAAGGTCGTCGGCAGCAAGTTATTCCAACCTAACTATACTTAAATTAGATAATAGCCTAGTAAAGAGGATAACTGGGCGAGTTAGTATGCATTCATAATGGAACAGCGCGAATTTTCGCTGGAAGTTCGCTCGGAGTGGTGGCAGCAGGTTCGTTTCTTCAGGGACTGCCTACGGATAGCTTGCAGTCGCCAGCCTCAACAGCCTGGAGCTAACCACCGGTTCCAAGACTCGTCAAGGACATCCATCCAGCTCACCGAGTTTCTATGGAACCAGGTACGCCCCAATGTACCTTCGAAGAAAAAACAGCGCGTCAAGGAAGGCACAGTACTCGTCCTCGGCGACCGACCAGTCGCGGAGCAGCACAGGCAGATCCTCAAGTTGGGCCCGAAGTTCTGTTTTGAGCCGAAGCTGAAACGAGTGGACAAGCTGGCCCTGTCAAGGTTGGTGTCTCGCCAGGTTCCGGAAGAGGACAAACCGAGGTGTGTCGCAGGATGCGTTGATGTGCTGTTGAGGTCAGAGGGGACCCCTACGAGGAGTAGGAGTTTAGAACCTGTTATTGACTTTCTCGCTACTAGTGGGCTACGTGCACTTGTGTCCGATAAGGAAGGCTTCTTCGTCATCATGCCGGAGGACATGTTCGCTGTGATGGCGACCTGTGCTGTGCAGAAGAACTTCAAGGCGGTCCTAGAAAGACCAGCGAAGGTTAAGGAAAGAGCCGTGGAGCTTTTGAAAAGATTGAACCTTAAGCAGGTGTGTGCAGGGGTAAAGAAGGAAAAGAACCTCACTTTGGAGGTTTTCTTCGCGGCCAAGACGCATAAGGCGTAAATTCCGTTTCGCACCATTGTGTCTGAGCGTGACACCTGGTTGTGTGTTGTGTCTGGGTACCTCAAAAAGCACTTGGACACGTTAAATGCCGAGGACCCTTTCGTGATCCCTAGCTCAAAAGCCGTAATTTCATATCTCTCGGATAGTAACCCTGTGGGTTGTACAGCGTTTAGCATAGACGTTGAAGATCTTTATTATTCAATGTCCCATGACGACCTCATGCGTTGCGTAAAAGAATGCATTACGGACCTCAACGATGAAGTTGCGTTTAGGTCCCAGTGCGGGATTCCGGTCGAAGGGTTTCTAGAAATGTTGTCATTTTATTTGAGGGCTACCTTTATCGGGTGGCATGACAAGGTGTATGTGCAAAGGTCGGGGGTGTGCATAGGGTCCAGGGTAGCACCCGTACCGAGTAACATCTTCCTTGCAAAGGTTGACTGGACACTTCACGGTCTCTTGAAGGCCCCCGCTAAAAAGACTTTTAGGAATGTCGATGATTGTATAGTGTTCGTCGACAAAGGTAACTTTGGTCGGACCCTTGATTTGGCGCTAAAAACGTTCAAGGAGCGGGGTTTGGGCCTGAGGTTCACTTTTGAAACCCCAAAAGACCAGACAATCTAGTTTTTGGATCTCAGCGTGGATGTGAGCCAGAGCCACGTTTGTTGAGGGCATCATCCCAGGACCACCAAGAATCTCCTTGATTTTAGAACGGGGCATTCCCAGGTCGTCAAAAAAGGCATTGCAAAATCATGTATACTGTCCGCGGTAACAAAGTCTTGCTACCACAGAGTGGGAGAACGCCTTGCCGCCCAGGTAAGCAGGCTAGAAGACGCCGGTTTCCCGGTATCGGTAATCGCCTCGGCGGCGGAAGCAATAGTGAAAAGCATTAAGGGTGAGTCACGGGGAAAAGTAGCAAAAAAAGTGAAAAAGCAGGTCTCAGTCATCCCGTATGTGCACCACATGTCACACGGCTTTAAAAGAGCAGCCTCGAAGTTCGGGGTAGATGTTGTGTTCTCGAAACGTAACAAGCTAAGCAGTATTTGCTCTGCAGTGGAAAAGCGCGTTAACAAGGTAGAGAAACAGAGGGAGAGCCCGTGCGGCATAAAACACCGCATTGAGTTCGTGCCATGCACCTTGGGTGTAGTATACAAGATACCCTTCACCTGCGGGAAGCTATACATCGGACAAACGGGGCGGTGCCTCAACATTCGCCTGCGGGAACACCGTAGCTCTTTAACAGGTACGGCAGGCTCCCACTTAGCGTTACACAGCAGGGACTGCGCCTGCACGCCGTTACTGGACAAAGCCGCTGTTTTGTATAAACACAGGGACCAAAAAGTTCGAGAAATTGTTGAAGCTCAGAGAATAAAGCTCAGGGAGTTGTAAACTCCCTGAGCGTGAGCACGCAGCGCGGTGCTCGCGCTCAAAACGAAAGGTAAACCTAAATTTAAAAGAAAATTTTGAGTCACGCTAGCGCGGGCACCTACATTAGAGAATCAAAAAAACGAATATCCCTTCTGCTCAACATCATGAAATCCATGCCAAATCTATGCATACATATTCATGACAGTAGACAACGAGAACTGCAGCACCTGCAGGCCGTAGTCTTTTCTTGAGCGAGACGTTGACCACGTGTGAACGCAACTGCTTGCATTTGCACGCACCCTCCGCTTGATATTGGTGATTGATAAAAAAAAAAGAAGTTTATTTTGCGTTACATACGTTTCACATGTTAGAAGTTTATAATTCTAATGCTCTGTAATTGGGACTATTTGAAGGTTTTTGAAGTGTTGTAATGTGGGAGCGTTGAACTCCGCATTTAACATAATTCGGATGATACACTTCTTGACCAGATGCTGTGATACATATTTGTAGTTGTTGTGCTACACTAAAACCATAAAGCAGTAATTATAGCGAGAGTAAAACAGGGAGTGTTAAAGGACTAAGACCGATAGGGGTAATATATATGTAGCAATTTATAAATAATGGCAACACCTTTTGAAAGTCTACAATCTATAGATTGCACGTTGGCGTCCTTGCTCATGTACTCATTAAATATTACAGCGACAACCTTCACATTTCTACAAAGTAAATATTTCTTTCTGGGAGAGAAAGCCCTTGAGTATATGAACACATAATTTATGGATAGACAAAGTATTTCATTCGTCTTTTCTGTATTAATTACTAGAGAGTTTGAGATTTTCCAGTAACGTATCTTCTGCAGAAAGCTATTTGCCGCACATCAAACCTGGTGGACAAATTCACCCGAAAAAAATAAACTGGTGTCGTCTGCGTAAATTATAAAACCTAGGCTGTCGTCAATATTTAGTGAGTTATTTATGTACATGTTTAACAGAAGGAGTCCAAGGAAACTCACTTGCGGCACCACTGACGTGAGTTTCCTTATGCAAGATTGCTGACTATCTATCACGACACACTGAAGCCGATACTTTAAAAAAATACTCTCGATCATCGCTGAGGCTACTCCTTGCATCCCGCATGCTTTTAATTTTAGAAGCAGATTTGAATGGTTTAGGTACTCGAAAGACTTTTAAAATCAATGAATACCCCAAGGTAATCAATTTATTTCGACATTGTTTAAAATTAGTTATTTTTGTTTTAATAGCGCACTTTCCGTCGAATTCTCTTTCCTAAAACTAATTGGCAATGTGTTAGTTCAGAGTTCTTTTCACCAAATGTGTATCATATGGCGTGTATATTTTTATGTACCCCTTTTGAAAACACTTTCAGCACAGAAAGAGGTCTCTAATTGAATTGCTCAGATTTTAAAATAACCGTAACCCTAATTACATTCACCTTTTTTTTTTGTTCTCTGATGCAAGGCAATTACCGCAACTGAGAAGATTAGGATATTTTGTCAACAAAAGCAAAAATCAATTATTTTGTGAATCTGGCCTACGTAATTCGATGCAAAGAGCCTGTAGAGCCACGGAATAAAAGCTGTACGCTTCCCAAATATTAATTACTGCCTTTTGATAGTTTATGACTGTCACCTGAAATATTCTCAGGAAACATTGCGATGTGTGTTGCTGTTCAGGTATTTTCGGACATTCGGAAGTCGTTGATGCCCAAGAAATTTGGTGATGGGCAAGATAAAATGCGCAGGCTCCCGGAGCCTTATTTGTGTGTGATTAATTTAGTCCGTGATAGCATACCTGTAAAGGCGATTAGCGCTCTGACAATGCACTTTTGGTACTGCTTGATTGGGGCACCATGACAGAACAGAACACGACAAAACAGCACGCGACAAAACAGCACGCTTCAAAACAGCACGCATCAAAACAGCACAGCGTCAAAACAGCAGGGCGACAGAGCAGCACTCGTCAAAATAGCACGCGACCAAATAGCACAGCGGCGAGACGGCACAGCGACAGAAGAGCACGAGCCAAAACAGCACGGCGTCAAAACAGCACAGCGACAAGACAGCACAGCGTCAAAAAAAGGTGTTTCGGAAATTATTGCGGTAAATATTTGTAGACTCATAAACGTCTCGTTTCTTTTCGGTTTATTGACGAAAATGTAATATTTAAAAGCTTTTGTTTGAAATGTATAGTGAGGTACTGTTTTTTTTTTTTTTAATTTGTTGCTGTGTGTGGCAGCCTACGCGACCTTTCCAGCAAGACGGACTGGGGCCCTATCGTGATCTGATATTATCGTCATGTGCGCGCATTTGTACACAGGACGAGCATGAGCTTCACTACCACTTCGGTCGGAGAGGCAAATACCAAAATCCAGAAGTTTGCAAGCATTGTACTCAGTGCGATTTTTCCCCATTTTCACGACTCCGAGAGGTGGTAAATTCGCGCCGTCCACAGAAACGGCAAAAAAACCATCGTATTTACGCCCTCCTCTAGTAGACGGAAGCTAGAATTGTTAAAAAATGAGCGGCATTTATACGGAGGCTTTTGATTTGCATTGTACAGTTCACGATTAGATTTTCTTTGAACAAAGAATTTGGCACACAAATCCCTATCAGGTCAAAAATCCAGATTTCATCCTGAAGACCCCTGTGGCCCCTGAGCTTTTGCTGAAGGTTGAACTGACCGCCGGAGACAAGCTGAAAACTGCGAAAGGAAGTGGTCATATAGTCAGGAATGAATCACACCCCCCCCCCCCCCCCCCCCACACTCCTAACGCCCTCAAAAATACTGACCTGTTTCAATTAATACTGACCTTTTCTTTTTTGCTGACTATAAATGACACGGAAAAATCCGACAAACGTACCAACAAGAGCTACGCTGAAGGAGGTTTGAACAATTGTATTCGTTTGTTTAATCCACCTGTCACCTTACGGGAATGCTTTACGCTGGATGCCGATCGGTAACTCCTGTTGTGATAAAAATCGTGGTCCACTACCAACTGCCGTGCCTTCCAAACCGTGGGTCCGACAGATCCACTTGGGGATCGCGAAGCAATTGCTGCTGTCATATTTTTTATGGATTTATCATTTAAGTATTTTGATACTAGTACTCATCATTGTAACTGACTTTTGTAACCTCTTGAAAAGCCCAAGAAAGATGGTGACACGATATTTTCTTCTTCTTTTTTTGAGGTGGGGAGGGGGGTTACGGGGTGCGGAGTTTGGTAAGCTCAGAAATAGGCGATAAATTTCTCTATAACCTAGCGACAATAAATAAAAAGGTGAAGGAGGTTCGATATTATTCGCTCAGATGGAGGTGAAGAACGCGCTTGAAGTTGCTACATGCGTGCTATTTTGTCGCTGTGCTGTTTTGACGCCGTGCTGTTTCGGCACGTGCTCTTCTGTCGCTGTGCCGTTTTGCCGCTGTGCTGTTTTGGCGCGTGCTATTTTGACGCGTGCTGTTTTGTCGCTGTGCTGTTTTGACGCTGTGCTGTTTTGACGCGTGCTGTTTTGACGCGTGCTGTTTTGACCGTGCTGTTTTGTCGCGTGCTGTTTTGTCATGTGCTGTTCTGTCGTGTTCCCCTTGATTGGCTCTGTCGGTGGCTGTGGTGGGACTTAAAGTGAAAAGGAGTCCATAGGCCACCGTTGGCGGCGAGTGATACGCCACACTTTTAGTCCCTGGGTGACAGTCGGCGCCCGTAGTTGGTTCCTCTATAAAGCCTAAAACTCCTTATGTGTAATTACGGCATCACGGGTGAAAGATGAAAGGTGAGGGCACAAGGTAGCTGCTGCAAGGTCATAATTGAAGAATTACCTGAGACCGCGGTGATAACACAAAACTACAGGAAGATGGAAAAAAGTATCGAACACAGCTCACATTTTATTGCCGCAGAATCTATTTAAAGGGGCTGCGCAACAATTTTCAGACTTTGGCCAATTAACTGCGGAAATTAATCTGCGTCACCTATGGAACGAAAAGCTGAAAACTATTATTTCTTGCAAGCGCTAGTTCTCATCTAAAAAAAAATGAAACAAGTTGAAGGTCAAAGTGCCTGTCTACTCTCCACGTCGACTTTCGAGTGACGTACTCTGGGGGTTCACGTGGTTTCCCCTTGAGTCCTCTCTTCAGAGACCAGCCGCTTCCTTTGCGATTGTGGACTTCTAAAGGATTAGCATCGTCGAAGGCCGCGGCGCACGATCGACACAAAGGACGGTTCGCCACGTGGCTGACGGCGAGTGTAGCAGTGGAGGGGGACATGTTTTATTGACTTCCGCGTTCCCCCAGACACGGTAGTCATTTTAGTTCGCGTTACCCCGGCAGGCGGCTGGATATCGGAAATAATTCGTTTTTCGCTTTGCGATTACGCAGCAGAATAGCACTTTTTTGGGGAAAGGTGACGCGTTTTAGGTCACTTGGGCTTGCATAAACAATATAAAAAAAATGCAAACTGCAAATTATTGCAAGATTAAATTCATAGCACTGCCCCTTTAAGTAATGTTTGAACTAAAAAGGACAAAGGGGAAACCGGGGAAAATGGGAAAGACCGCAAATTATGTACACTTTCGGGTAAAACACACAGTACGAACACCAAGTATATCTGTCAGTTTGAGGTCAAAAAGATGGTGAAGGTAGATGATCGACACGATAGTTCACAGTCCGAACAACACATACAAAAAAGGCTACTTCAAAGCCGTGTATTTTAAAGAAACACTCATTTACAGAAAAACGTAAAATTTGCAACAAAAAAAAACGCAAAAACGACACAATTTTATTTACAAATATTCTCCCCCCCCCCCCCCTCCCTCCCTTCCCCTTCCCCCCCAGAAGTTAGAGGTTAAGAGATATTTTCTACGCGGCCTCCGAACACAGGTACGACTTATCTACATCGTTTCCATGGTTTCCGTTAACAATTGACTCTTTTAAGACAAGTTTGTGGTCATTTTCGTCTGTTAAAATCACAGAGGACGTCAAAATTCACAACGGTACAGAATTGTTATTTTCTCGGGCGTGCTTTGAAACCTCCAAATACGGATCCTTATTGTGGACACACCGTCTACGTTCGGTCACACGGTCATTGACGCTGCCGTTGGTCTGACTAATAAAGCACAAACAACATTCAGATGCGATTTTGTAGACAATCCCTGAAACACGCGCGAATTTTTTTTTTTAGAGCGCAGCTCTTAGGCGCTTGTTTCCAGCCTGAGCGGCGTCGGCGTCGGCGTAACCGGGGGGGGGGATCACGTGACCCCCGAGGTCACGTGACCCCCCTCCCGAGGTCACGTGACCGCCTCGGGGTCACGTGACTACCCGCAGGTGACGTGACCCCCCTCAGTACCCTTCCCTACTCCTCCTCAAGAGCTGCGCTCCAATTCGGCGGTACAGGGATTTGTAAGCGGCTTTCATTTTTTTTGTGTGTGTTTTTTTAATGCAGCCATATTGGTCCCAAGTGAATGGAGTCAATCTTTTTAAGGTGTAGTCTAGGCTAAATGCCGTACGGGGCCCAAATTCAGCGAGATTTGAGGTTATGGGGTGCTCAAAGAAAAAAACGGGAAGACAGCATACTTTTCCGGCCGGTAACATTTTTTAGCGTTTTTTTTTCGGAGAAAACTATGCAGGAAAACTGCTTGGACAAAAGCTTTTGAGGGTATTTTCCTTCGTTAAGACGGCTGAACAGATTTTGAATAGACTCCGCTATAGCGGGAGCATAGGATTTTTGGACTGCGTTACGTATCAGATTGCGAACCAGACCCGACCATGCGGTTTTTGAATGCCAGCTGGTGTGAAGGAAACGATTGGTTTTGCCGTCGCCTGCACGGTTGTGAGGTGACCTCTTTTGTATGTGTTTGTTCGGACTGTGAACTATGGGTTGGACAATCCAGCATCAGCATCCTTTTGAGCTCAATCTGCCTGATACATATCGTGTTCTTTCCGTGTGTTTTGTCCTTGAGAGTGTGCCATCGGCGGGTTTTTTTTTTCCTTTTCCGTGGCTTCCCTTTTCTTGTTTAGGGAGGCCATATATAAATGGATGCTATGGCAATCAAATTTCACCTATGTTTGAGGCATCTTTTCTTCTTCCTGTCGTGTTTTCCGCCTCCACCGCCGCCTCGGTTAATTATACAATTATGAAACGTAACGTATCAAGAGATAGCAGAGCTTACAATCGTGTCCAAATTCCGGGGAAATAGGAATTATAAAGTAAATGACGCTATGAACCTTCTCCCTCGTGATTAACTCGTGATTAATAATTGATGCCTTACCAACTCACCCAATCTGCAGTATTAACAGGTTTTATTTCTAATTAACGATGCCTTACCAACTCGCCCAATCTGCAGTATTAAGAGGTTTTATTTCTAATTAATGATGCTTTACCAACTCGCCCATTCAGCAGTATTAACAGATTTTATTTCTAATTAATGATGCCTTACCAACTCGCCCAATCTGCAGTATTAACAGGTTTTATTTCTAATTAATGATGCCTTACCAACTCGCCCAATCTGCAGTATTAACAGGTTTTATTTCTAATTAATGATGCCTTACCAACTCGCCCAATCTGCAGTATTAAGAGGTTTTATTTCTAATTAATGATGCCTTACCAACTCGCAAAATCTGCAGTATTAACAGGTTTTATTAATAATTAATGATGCCTTACCAACTCGCCCAATCTGCACTATTAACGGATTTTATTTCTAATTAATGATGCCTTACAAACTCGCCCAATCTCCAGTATTAACAGGTTTTATTTCTAATTAATGATGCCTTACCAACTCGCCCAATCTGCAGTATTAACAGGTTTTATTTCTAATTAATGATGCTTTACCAACTCGCCCAATCTGCAGTATTAACAGGTTTTATTTCTAATTAATGATGCCTTACAAACTCGCCCAATCTGCAGTATTAACAGGTTTTATTTTTAATTAATGATGACTTACAAACTCGCCCAATCTGCAGTATTAACAGATTTTATTTCTAATTAATGATGCCTTACCAACTCGCCCAATCAGCAGTATTATATTAACAGGTTTTATTTCTAATTAATGATGCCTTACCAACTCGCCCAATCTGCAGTATTAACAGGTTTTATTTATAATTAATGATGCCTTACCAACCGCCCAATCTGCAGTATTAACAGGTTTTATTTCTAATTAATGATGCTTTACCAACTCGCCCAATCTGCAGTATTAACAGGTTTTATTTCTAATTAATGATGCCTTACCAACTCGCCCAATCTGCTGTAGTAACTGGTTTTATTTCTAATAATGATGCCTTACCAACTCGCCTAATCTGCAGTATTAACAGGTTTTATTTCTAATTAATGATGCCTTACAAACTCGCCCAATCTGCAGTAGTAACAGGTTTTATTTCTAATTAATGATGCCTTACCAACTCGCCCAATCTGCAGTATTAACAGGTTTTATTTCTAATTAATGATGACTTACCAACTCGCCCAATCTGCAGTATTAACAAGTTTTATTTCTAATTAATGATGCCTTACCAACTCGCCCAATCTGCAGTATTAACAAGTTTTATTTCTAATTAATGATGCCTTACCAACTCGCCCAATCTGCAGTATTAACAGGTTTTATTTCTAATTAATGATGCCTTACCAACTCGCCTAATCTGCAGTATTAAGAGGTTTTATTTCTAATTAATGATGCTTTACCAACTCGCCCAATCTGCAGTATTAACAGGTTTATTTCTAATTAATGATGCTTTACCAACTCGCCCAATCTGCAGTATTAACAGGTTTTATTTATAATTAATGATGCCTTACCAACCGCCCAATCTGCAGTATTAACAGGTTTTATTTATAATTAATGATGCCTTACCAACTCGCCGAATCTGCAGTATTAACAGGTTTTATTTATAATTAATGATGCCTTACCAACCGCCCAATCTGCAGTATTAACAGGTTTTATTTCTAATTAATGATGCTTTACCAACTCGCCCAATCTGCAGTATTAACAGGTTTTATTTCTAATTAATGATGCCTTACCAACTCGCCCAATCTGCTGTAGTAACTGGTTTTATTTCTAATAATGATGCCTTACCAACTCGCCTAATCTGCAGTATTAACAGGTTTTATTTCTAATTAATGATGCCTTACAAACTCGCCCAATCTGCAGTATTAACAGGTTTTATTTCTAATTAATGATGCCTTACCAACTCGCCCAATCTGCAGTATTAACAGGTTTTATTTCTAATTAATGATGACTTACCAACTCGCCCAATCTGCAGTATTAACAAGTTTTATTTCTAATTAATGATGCCTTACCAACTCGCCCAATCTGCAGTATTAACAGGTTTTATTTCTAATTAATGATGCCTTACCAACTCGCCCAATCTGCAGTATTAACAGGTTTTATTTCTAATTAATGATGCCTTACCAACTCGCCCAATCTGCACTATTAACAGGTTTTATTTCTAATTAATGATGCCTTACAAACTCGGCCTATCTGCAGTAGTAACAGGTTTTATTTCAAATTAATGATGCCTTACCCACTCGCCCAGTCTGCAGTATTAACAGGTTTTATTTCTAATTAATGATGCCTTACAAACTCGCCCAATCGGCAGTATTAACATATCTTATTTCTAATTAATGACGCCTTACCAACTCGCCCAATCTGCGGTATTAACAGGTTTTATTTATAATTAATGATGCCTTACCAAGTCGCCCAACCTGCAGTATTAACATGTTTTATTTCTAATTAATGATGCCTTACCAACTCGCCCAATCTGCAGTAGTAACAGGTTTTATTTCTAATTAATGATGCCTTACCAACTCGCCCAATCTGCAGTATTAACATGTTTTATTTCTAATTAATGATACCTTACCAACTCGCCCAATCTGCAGTATTAAGAGGTTTTATTTCTAATTAATGATGCCTTACCAACTCGCCCAATCTGCAGTATTAACAGGTTTTATTTCTAATTAACGATGCCTTACCAACTCGCTCAATCTGCAGTATTAACGGGTTTTAATTCTAATTAATGATGCTCTACCAACTCGCACAATCTGCAGTAGTAACATGTTTTATTTCTAATTAATGATGCCTTACCAACTCGCCCAATCTGCAGTAGTAACAGGTTTTATTTCTAATTAATGATGCCTTACCAACTCGCCCAATCTGCAGTATTAACAGGTTTTATTTCTAATTAATGATGCTTTACCAACTCGCCCATTCAGCAGTATTAACAGATTTTATTTCTAATTAATGATGCCTTACAAACTCGGCCAATCTGCAGTATTAACAGGTTTTATTTCTAATTAATAATGCATTACCAACTCGCCCAATTAACTTCAGTAGCCGCAAGCAGGTACTTATAATTTAAGACTACTAAAGATTCAAGGCGCTTTACCGGCCCATTATAGAACAGAAGTCAAGAAAAACGTATTTTTAAACCGTGCATGTAAATAGCTCCACACTTGAAGAACTTTAAACTTGTCTTAATAATTCTGATCAATCCGAAGATCACAGCTGTATGGTGAGTGTGTAGTGCATCCGAAACCAGCCAAAGCTCCCCGCAACCAGCAGAGAAATTCATGACGCACGCATGACACACGTAAGACGCATTCTGCGTTCACCGGGTTTTCTCAGAATGATCAAGGCAAGTTTAATTTTGTCTTTGAGCAAACATATTATTCAGAAAACTAAAAGCTTAAACGTATATTTTTTTCCTATTTTTTTAAAAAAGCCTGTTTGTATGGCATACATTGTTTTTACGAACCTGTAACTCTTTCGTAAACAATGCCCTCTTTTTTAGGCGGCTAAACCTATATACCAATCCCATTTTTTTTTTACAAATGTATAGTGTTATATTATACTTTGGGTACACACGTTCAGTTATATTAACCCCCGCGTTATAAATATTAAACGATTACAAATCGTATATAGGCCACCCAAAGAACGGTGAAAAATTGTTCATCGGTGCACATTACAAATAAGAATACTACGTTTTACAATTTTCTTCAGATTATTATGAGATAGATGAATCATTACACGAAGCAGACGAAGACGTCAAAGATTCCGTAGATTATGAAAGTTCAGCAGAAGAAACGAACGATGCGTCATCATCGGAATTGGAGCGCTTTTTGGTACGTTTTGACCCAGAAACCTTGATGGAAAGGAATATATCCTTAATAGCTAACGAACAGTGCGAACGACAACTTGCCACAACGGTTCCAAATTACATCCTATGCTCCAATGGGGGACAATGTGTGGTAAGTATGAATTCTTGTATCATTCCCTGAGAATAAAATTTATTTGGTCGGCAACTGCACGAAAAATAAATGACTCCTCGTATCATGAGACACGCGCATGGAAAAAAATAAATTTTAGAATAAATCTAAAAAAAAACCTTTCACCTGCACTTTTGAATGTAAAATATTTAAGAACCCGACTCAACTCGGAAATGCGACATATTGGTTCAGTTTCCCGCTGGAAGAAAATTTCTTAATGGGAACTTGGGATTAAAAAAAAAGGCATCGCAACTTGTGTTAAAACTCTTTGAAACTGTATTGGACCGATCCCTTCTAAAACAAGCTTGAAACGATATGTTTTTTTTTGTACTTTTATTCAGTAGATGTTCTCCAAATTGGTAAGTTATCACTGTGACATTCCTGGCACCAGATTTCGAGAATGTATCAAGTGTAAAGAAATTTAAAGAATTCCACAGGGCTCATCTTGCGTTACAGCTGCTGACCAAAACGGTTTCAGTCCTTATTGAAGACTAGTATTAAAACGTAGAATAAAAACGTCCCATAAAAAAACAAGAAAAAAACAAAAAAATACGGGCTATCGGCCAAGATTGATGAATTCTGCTCTGTAGAAAACTGTAACTCAGTGAAAACATGACGCTAGTTGCGCGATAATTCATAATGTTAAAAGCAGGACGTTATTTGCATAAAATACATGCGGGAAATGAACAACTAATATGCGCTGACGTCGACCAAAGCTTAATAATTATATAAGCAAAAATTAACATCTTAAATGCCGGTAAGCATTAGTTTTAGTATTAAATAAATAAACTTGTCAGCAAAAAACAAACAAACAAAGAAGCAGCAAACACTGCTTTATTTGATGGAGAAAACAGCTCAGAATACACAGACTAAGGAGAAGAACATTCACGAAAGAACAATGCTGAATGTTGTGTATGTTCCTCTTCGTAGTCTGTGTTTTCTGAGTTGTTTTCCCCATCATATATAACGTCAACCAACTGGTTCAATTTACCACCTTATTATTGCTTTACTTGTTGACAAGTCTTAAATAAATTGAACAAACGCCCACAGTGCCATATCCTTGAATTTACAAATATTTCGCTTAGGTGGGCGTTGGCTCACAAAAAAAGTAAATTTTTCTCTCGTTTCATTTGATGAAGGTATTGCGATCTCAAACTTTCGTGTTCTCACATTACCACTAGCGTTGTATTGCCATGAAGTTTCAACTTTCGGGGATGCGTAGTTTATTTGCATAACCCCTAAAACCGGGTGCCGCTTTTCTCAGTTGAACTCGGTAGAATAGTGATACGAGTCCAAGAGAGCGGGCGTGAGCGCCCTTAGCTGTCGATTGCTTCCATACATTTTGGCAAGAAGAAACCAAGCAGAAATTTACAACATGATCGATGCGACCGGAACTGATAAATGTAAGCACGGCTATGGCCTTGAATTCAGCTTTTGGCAACGTTTCAGTGAAGTATTCACGATCCGTTGTAGGAGCCACTAGAGCTGGCCAAAGCGTACAGCTGTGAACGTCAAAACAAAGAAACGAATATATTTGTTTTAAAACTCTTCAAATATAAAGCGTTATCAATGGAGACCCTTCCGAGTGCCTTTATGAAGGCGAACGAAAATTTACTGTTCATGAGCAGATGGGGCCGAAGTAGATAGGGCATTATATATGTTAACCATACTTTTGTTTGACCCAAGACTGGGGTATTTCGGAAAAAGGGGACGAGAAGAAAAGTGGCCTCAAGGAGGCGACGTCTCAAACACAGCTTGAGCTGTGTTTGAGACGTCGCCTCCTTGTGGCCTCTTTTCTTCTCGTCCCCTTTTTCCGAAATACCCCAGTCTCGGGTTAAACAAAACTATGGTTAACTTCCACCAGCTCGCCTGCACCCTTACAATTTTTTCATTATATATGTTGTTTGATTTAGATAAAAATATACTTGTCTTAAAAATCGAACGGAAGTCGACCGAGTACAGTCTTCCCCATTTAATTATCAGGCTTGGCGGGCATCAGATAAGGGAGAAACCGTCACGGCAAGTTAGCTTATTCACTAAAATCTAATATTTCACTTTTAAGTATTTGTCTGATGAATGTTGCAATCGCAGTATCGGCGGCAAGTAATATAGGAGGCCACACAAATTTAAAAGAAATTGCGAAAAGATAATGGCTTTTTAGGCGTCGATAAAGCTTTCAATTCGCTTCGTGTTTTTTGTTTGTTTGTTTTTCTGGGGGGGAGAGGGAATGGAAGGACAGTTTTGAATGTGCGCAAACGTCCACAATGACGCTTAGGAGAATGTAGGTGTCCATTTCAGTCACGTCATTACTATTTCAGCAGCACATCCACGATGAATGCGCCGTCGACACAGTGCCGTTAGAGTGACATGACAGAAAAGACAGCGTCACTCTTCTAGGCGGCATTGCCCGAGCAGGGCTTCGGCGCTCTATAAAAGCTTAAATTTAAAATCTGGCAAAAAAAAGAAACTGAAAAAACGATCAGTATATTTCTCAAAAAACTTTTTTTTAATGCAATAAATTGGTAATGACTCTAAGAGGTATTCCAGTAAATATTGCAATCATCACCTGCTTTGTAAAACCGCTTCTTAAAATGTCGACCTATACTGGTTAATTAGCCGCCTCGTTGTGACGTTTATTTCATGCTATGTCCACGCAGCTTGACAAGTTAAAGCTCAAGACAACAGCCGTGTAACTCTCGCCTTTAAAAAGAAACGTGTTCAAGTAAAATGTAAACACCCTGTGCAAGAGAACAGGAATTCACCAGAGTTCAGTCAGAGAACCCACTGCACGCATTCTCACGTGCTTCCCCCTGCTTGGAAAGGTTGCCGGATAGCACTCGCAAAAAAGGACTCTGTCGCCTTTTTGAACCATTAGTAAAAACAGCAATGTCGTGCGCTTTGGAATAGAATTGTGGTCCTTTTAGCCTCTCCTAAAGGGTTCGAGAAACTGAAAGTCACATGGTGACATGTCCGGAATGTCATCTGGATAGAGGAAACCTCCCACCCTATCTGAGCTAATGCATCCAGAGCAATGGTCGAAACATGATAACCAGCGTTATCGTGTCACAAAAACATACCAGAAGAGAGCGTGAAGCGTCTCTTACTCAAAATGGCTCTATGCAGCGTGCGCAACGGGCCCCTAAATGTAAAGTTTAGCACATGATTTTCAAGTCAGGCACTTTGAATTTTGACAGAAAAAGCCCTTCATGATCAGGCTCACCTTAAACGGACACCAAATTGCACCTACCATGTTGTAAATGGCGTCCACTATAAACCAGAATTGCGGAGAAGTTGAATGATTTCTCTCTTGTAGGTTTGTCTGTGCTTATCAAGATAAGTTCAACCTCATCGGTCTCCTCGTTCGCCCCTGTACGTACGAAAATGTTGACCTAGGGCGGTAACCGTTTTTACTTGAGCAACTATTCTTTTTTTTTTTTAACCAGGACGTAGGGGCCGAAAACGTATACATATATTGAAAAGAAAAAAAAAAATGTAACGAAAATGTGAAGGCAGTTAGTATGGCGTGAGACACCAATTTGCTGCTCTGAATCAGCTGGAGGAATTTGTTACGATGACATCTGAGCTTTATTTTTATAAGATTTTCGAAAATAGTTCTATAATAAACCATTTGTTTTGTTTTTTTGTTTTCAGGGAGACAGCGGAGGACCTTTGATGTACGAAAAAGAAGGACGGTGGTTTCTTGCTGCTATTAGTTCTGCAGGCGATAAAAATTGTTATAACCCTCATGGGCCATCTGTACATGTTAGGGTGTCGCATTTTGTTGACACGTTTATTTTACCCTTCATGCAGCAATATCAGGATGCGGAATCAACGAAACATAACTTATGTATGAAGGACGAGGCTCGAAAGGAATGTGTAACTACATTTTTTAAGTCTTACAATGTGACACTGGTTGATTAAGTAGTAGATGAAACTAGTGAAATAAAACGTTAACTGGTTATCATATACTCTTGTCATGTATCTTCAATTCACTTCTAAAAATAAACCTAAAAATAAAAAAAAACACTAAACATCAAATTTTACTCAAGGGTTGTTGTTGATATTGTTAGAACGTTCTTTATTGCCCTGTCATATATAATATGTCTGTATGTATACCATACACACATATAATGCACCATTGTCGTCTGCATCGGTGCGAGCCTAAGGATCCGCCATTGCCGTCACGCGGTCTGGATGGGTGTTGGTCCCAGCGTCTTTGGCTGCTGCAAAGTCGTCCGCCGGGGGCGTCGTCGTCGTAGACGAACTCCGCCAGCTTTGTCCACAGCAGGGACTCACGATCGCCTTGTTACGACTGGTAGGCAGGATCCAAATCGACATACCTCGCCGGATGGATCTCGTCTGGGAGTTCCTCCAGTTTCGTTTTCCGAAGGCGAGCGTGGGGCTTGCACTCCCAGACAACAAGTGTGTCGCGAGGCGACGGACGAGGGTCTGAGTGCTCCGCCGTACGTCATTCGGCATCGGAGGAACGGGACGCAACTCATCGTCCGGCGTTCCTCCCGTTCCTCACTGCCGCAGGGTTCTCCGCCTTCGCTGTTTAGCACTTTCCTTGACGGCAGACGGTTCGGCCGGATTGGCTGCCTCGCCGACTGTGTTGTGGAATGCGTTCGGTGCGGATGCCATCTGGCGAACTGATGCTCGCGCCTCGCTGTGGGCCTACTCGTTGCCGTCGATGCCCGCATGAGCAGGCACCCAGGAAATAGTAGCTTGGGTGTTGAGCTTGTTTCGAAGTTCCAGGAACGCGGCGAGCGACTCGCCGTCTATTCCCGTGTACGTTGAGGGACTCCCGCACGCTCGCCTGCAAGTTTCGTACGCGCTGGTCGAGTCGGTGAACAGTAGGAGCCTGTGGGGGATGTCTGTTGGTGCAAACGTTTCAACAACCCACTGGGAGGCTCGGAGGAGTGCCATGAGTTCCGCTTGCGTAGTGTCGACGTCTTCAGTGGTCGAAAGTGGAGGCGCGTTCGGAATGCCATGGGTGGTGTCGACCCACGCGACCGCCGCGGACGTGCTTGGGGGTTCTGTCCTCTCCTTCGCCGTCGTCGCCGGCAATCCACAGCAAGGTTTCCGCCATGTCAGCGTAGATGATGGCTTGCGTATGGGGTGATTTGTGCGCGACGCCACGTGTGTGCGCTTTGGCAAAGCGTTTGCGTCGCACCGCGTTGCTCGGTCCAGGTCCCATGTTTCGGGGGAGCGGTTTTCTGTCGGTAAGCGTGACGGGGGCGGCCCCCGGAGGATGCGAGTGCGCGTCTGCCGGGCGGGCGTCCAGACTGGGAGACACGCGGAGCTTTTCCAATATGGAAAGCCCAGCTGTCGAGCTGCTGAGGCGGTCTCTCTAAGCGAGGAGCGCCTGTTCGGCGAGTTCCGACAGGAGGTTAATGACGCAGTGTGCGTGCAGCTGCCGGAGGGGCGTGTGCTTAGGCAATCCGGTGACGACGCGGATGGCTTCGCGATCGAGTTTCTCGAGTTGCTCCGCCTGCCTGGACGTGAGGACGTGATAGGTATAGCCGTACATGCAGACATGTACAAGTTACTGAAAAAAAGTAATCAGTTTAAGTTACTGAGTATTGACGTTAAAAGTAATTTGATAAAGAGTAGAAATTACTCAAACAGGAATTAATTGAGAAAACCGCTAATTACCGTAAAAAAGTAGCCAATTACTTTTATTTATTGAAATACCTTAAAGGTCCTTCTGGGAAGGACATTACATAAGGGGGGGATAAGTACATCATATATGAAACACACAAAAATAATAAAATAAAAACATGCACAGCAGTGCAAACATATAAAACATCGTATCTCGAGCAACAAAAATATAATATCTTCCACACTACTGCCAACATACAAGAATTCACGTCATACAATGCCTAAATGGCTGCTGATAAGCGAACGAAAGCTATCGGGGTTAATCTCGGTGACGATGCGCTCTGTTAGATCATTCCACCAGACTGCTGTTTTGGGAAAGAAGGAATACAAAAAAGAAGTGCGGCAGGTGAAACGGTCAATCTTACACGAGTGATTAAGACGAGGTGTAACGAAATGCGACTGAGTTAGGGTGCCTTGGCTGAGAGATGGTGCATAGTAAATGCGATGAAAAAGACATAAGCAAGAAACTTTGCGTCTTAAGGCCAGTTCTGGAAGGTCGGCTTTCTGTTTTAATAAGGTGATGCTGGAATGTCGAGAATATTCAGAAAAAATAAAGCGCGCAACACGGTTTTGAAAGCCTTCTATTTCGGTGATCAATAATGCTTGGTGAGGATCCCAGATGCTCGATGCGTATTCAAGTTTCGGCCGAATCAATGAAAGGTATGCATTTTTTTTTTAAGTGAGGAGGAGCACAACGAAGTGTATGTTTTAGGTAGCCCAAAGAACGATTGCAAGATGATAACAATGACCGAATATGTACCATCCAGGAGAGATGCCAGTCGACGTGAACACCTAAGTATTTATAAGAGGAAACAGACTCAACAACGTTAGAATTAATAAAATAGTTATGAAAAAAAAAAGGTCTCTTTCCTAACAAATGAGATGAGTTTGCATTTAGAAGGGTTAAGCTCCATGAGCCAAGTCGAGCACCACAATGATAGGTTAGTGAGGTCATGTTGTAGTTCCATGCCGTCTTCTTCGTTAGAAATTTGCCTACATACAACGCAGTCGTCTACAAAATACGGATGCGGGAGGAAATACATGATTTAAGTCATTAATATATATTAAGAAAAGCAAGGGTCCAAGGACGGAGCCTTGAGGAACACCCGAAGACACAGGAATAGAAGTTGAACTATAAGAGTTTACGACCGTGTACTGACTTCGGTCAGAAAGCCAGTCTTTGATCCACAAGATGATGTTATCATCAAGTTTTAGATGGGTAGGTTTTTGCAACAGACGCTTATGTGGGACCCGGCCGAACGCTTTGGCGAAATAAAAAAAAATAACATCAATTTGGTAACCGAAGTCAATAGAAAGATGGATATCATGAATGAATCCTGCGAGTTGAGTCTCGCAGGAATGACCCTTCCGGAACCCATGCTGGTAATTAAATATTAATTGATTTTCCTCTAAAAAGCGGATGATGTTCGAATGCAATATATGTTCAAAACTTTTTGAGGCTATGCTTGTAATAGATATGGGCCGATAGTTTAAAGGGGAGCTGCGTTCACCTGATTTAAATAACGGGACAATTTTACCGACCTTCCAGTCACTAGGAACTGAATGAGAAAGCAAAGATTGTGAAAAAATTGCGGACAATATGACACCGGAAACTGTTTTGGTATTCATTAAACCCTTCGAATTAATTTCGTCTTCACCACTCGAAGAAGAAATCTTCAAGTTATCAATTAGTTTTACAACACCAGATGAATTAGTCGTTATACTTTCCATTTTATCATGTTCAAAAAACGTATCCAAAATGGGCAGGGCTGTATTCTCAGATGAAAATACTGCAGAAAAAGCAGAATTCAAAACATGAGCACTTTCTAGGTCAAATAGTGAATTTCCTGATATATCAAAAAGATTTAATGCGTCAGCCGATTTAGGATTTATTACTGTCCAAAATGTTTTGGGCTTTGTACTCAACATGTTGGGGAGAGTGATTCGGTAGTAAGAATTTCTAGTTAAAGCAACTTTTTGCTTATATTCTGTTTCGCATTCATGGTATGCAAGCCAGTCGGAGGGACTGTCACGGCACCTGGCATGCCGGAATAGACGTTTTTTCTTATTCCCTAGGCGCCTCAGGCTTGCATCACACCACGGAGAAACATTTGACGTCTTAATGAAAATAACAGGAATATGCTTATCAATGAGATATTTCACTTTATTTTTATATAGCTCCCAGTTTTGCTCAACTGTGCGGCTTTCAAAATTGGGCAGGAAAACCTGTTCATAAAAAAGTGCCAATTCCCTGTTTATTGCATCGTAGTTAGCCCGGCCATAACTTCTAATGGGTTTACGAATGGTTTCCTTTCTTGTTACTGGCAGAATGATTTGCGCAAACTGGACGTTGTGATCAGATAACCCTGGAAGGGTAGTAATTGGATGAAACAAGTCAGGTTGTGTAGTCAAGATCAGGTCAAGAATATTTGAGGTCGAAGAAGTGGAGCGCGTAGGTATTGTTACAAGTTGCGAGAGGTTGAAGTCAAGGCAAGCCTTGATGAAAGTTTCACACTCAGCAATGTTACCCTGACAAGAAGGTTGATTTTGAGACCAATCTATAGAGGGAAAATTGAAATCACCGAAAATTATAAAGCAGCAGCCAGGAAACCGTAATGACAAATCACAAAGTATATCATGAAAAGCTAAAACAAAGCCCAGTTTATAATCAGGAGGTCTGTAACAAACCCCAAACACAACAGTAGCATATTTTGTTTTTAAGGAAAACCAAGCACTTTCTAAACCCGTGTCAACGCAAATGCGTGTACAAACTATACTTTTCCTGACAGCAAGCATAACCCCGCCACCCCTGCGTTGTTGTCTATCCTGACGAAATATAGTAAACGATGACACGCCCTCAAAAATAACCGAGTCATCCACTTTATCATTCAACCAGGTCTCCGTGAGATCAATGACATCAGCCGAGCAAGATTCAATCAAAGATGAGATGTCGTCTCGCTTTGATAACACACTCCGAATGTTGGTATACAAAACATTCAGATTTATTTCAGCAGAATGGGAAGTCGACGCGGGTACATCAAGATTACGGCACGGCAAATTGACACAGGGGGGGGGGAACAGGGAAAAGCAGTTTGCGATAACGAATAGTTGACATGTCATTCATCTACATCGGTGGCGTTTACTAGAGGGACTGCAGATTCAAGGGCACTGTCCCAGACATAGGCTACGTCGTTCACAAAAAGTTTGTCAAAACGCAAGCGTACTTTGTCCCCAGCCTTCACGACAGTTTTAGAATATTTTAACAAATTTCTACGCTTGCCTCTAACTGCTTCTGAGAAGTCGTTGCTAACACTAAATTCAGTGCCTTTTAGTTTAAATCCGTTTGAAAGAACATTTCTCATTTCTTTTTCATTCAAGAATTTGGCTATTATTGTCCTGTGCTTATCACTTGATAAACGACCTAGTCGATGTGCTCTGGAGATGCTTTCCACTTTTACACCAAGCTTTGATTTACACAGTTCCAAAATCAACTTCTCGGAATCCAGCCAGCTTTCACGTTCACTTGTTTCTTTTATTCTAAAAAAGATCAGATTATTCCGACGTGACCGATTATCTAATTCATCAACTTTTGATTGAAGGCGAGACACAAGAATGTCCCGGTGCACCTCGTTTTCAAGCTGGACAGAGTTCAAACCTGTGGTAGGCGCTTGGCCGTTCTCTAACAGTGATACTCGCTCTTCCAAAGATTTGATCGTTGCTTCAGTCTGTTTCTGATTCGGTTCTAGTTTCTTAATACTGTTCAGCATTGTTGTTTGACCAGTTTCTATTTTTTTTTACAATAGCAAAAACTGACGCGAGCTAATCTTCCTGCTGTTTCGAGATAGGTCCGGGATTAGATTCAATATCACCAGCCAAAAGTAGTATCTAACTCAGCCACAGCAACTCGAGAATTGACAACAGCCTTCTGCCGAGGTTAGCATACACATGACGAGTTAGTAGACACTTTTTGTCGAAGGGGCACGACAATTTAAAAAGAAGAAGGTTATTGGAACGGAAACATTTTGCATACTTTAGGTAACTAACCTGCAGCATAAAGCCGTGTGAGAAAGGCATTCCGTCCGTGTCGTGCCCCAGCGGCGAAGTGGAAGCAGGGTCCTTTTGTAGATGGTAATGCCACGGTGGAAGCGGAAGTGTCCCTTGGCGGTTCAACCAATGGAAGTACTCAGGAACGATCACCACAGGGATTGGATGATCAGATGATGGCGACGAGTCATCTCGCAGCCGAAGCAGTGTGAATTCGGCTGTCTCATACGACGAAGTGTAGACCGCTTGGCCGATGAAACTTGTTGAAGATAGTGCCAGGAAGGACAGCACCTGCAGCATAAAGCCGTGTGAGAAAGGCATTCCGTCCGTGTCGTGCCCCAGCGGCGAAGTGGAAGTAGGATCCTTTTGTAGATGGTAATGCCACGGTGGAAGCGGAAGTGTCCCTTGGCGGTTCAACCAATGGAAGTACTCAGGAACGATCACCACAGGGATTGGATGATCAGATGATGGCGACGAGTCATCTCGCAGCCGAAGCAGTGTGAATTCGGCTGTCTCATACGACGAAGTGTAGACCGCTTGGCCGATGAAACTTGTTGAAGATAGTGCCAGGAAGGACAGCACCTGCAGCATAAAGCCGTGTGAGAAAGGCATTCCGTCCGTGTCGTGCCCCAGCGGCGAATTGGAAGCAGGGTCCTTTTGTAGATGGTAATGCCACGGTGGAAGCGGAAGTGTCCCTTGGCGGTCCAACCAATGGAAGTACTCAGGAACGATCACCACAGGGATTGGATGATCAGATGATGGCGACGAGTCATCTCGCAGCCGAAGCAGTGTGAATTTGGCTGTCTCATACGACG